ACCATGCCCGGCTAATTTTTTGTATATATATATTTTTTTAGTTGGCCAATTAATTTCTCTCTATTTATAGTAGAGACGGGGTCTCGCTCTTGCTCAGGCTGGTTTTGAACTCCTGACCTTGAGCAATCCGCCCGCCTCGGCCTCCCAAGAGCTAGGATTACAGGCGTGAGCCACAGCGCCCGGCCATACCCTCTGGTTCTTTATGAAGTAGCAGCTAGTGTTTCCAAGATGGAATCATAGGAGAATTAAAGTAATATACAGCTTCAAAAAGAAGACATTTTCTAGGAAAAAGCTTAGAGGTCAGGAGGTTGAAACCTGATTGCCTACTGAGGATTTTTAGTAATCCATCATTAGCATAATTTGTCACCGATTGTAGAGAGGTTAGACAGAAACCATTTAATAAGCTTAACCAAGTACTGTAGACCAAGGCTATGCAGTCTCTGCCCTGAATACTCCCCTTTCATGATGAAGCAACTTCACCCTAAGCACCTGCTCATCTTCAGCAATCCTTGAGTTGCATGTGCTGTTCTGACCCAATTTCCACCAAACTCAGTCTTCTGCTGAGGCTTAGAAATTTTGTGAGCATGTTATTCTCTTGACTAGAAATTAATAGTGTGACTATTACTAATAACAAGCATTCCAAAGCCATATTTATAAACTTCATTAAGTACCTTGTTCCTTGATTTAACTATCTCCTAGAATGCTTACTAATACTATAGAAATTGCATTTATTGCTATTACTTGACAGTAGAAATTTCTAAAGTTCTACAATAAAATTCACAGGAGAGCCCTGCAATAGCAACTGTGCTAGGACTAAATGCAATAGCCAACAGGAGCAGTCATGCTGAGCCATAACCGTCCACTGACATCACCTTTTGACTTCCAGTAAGTGATTCATATACTCCATGATCTGCTAATTGAAGATTAATTAATTTAGTAAGTTCTTCACCATTGTATACTCTATGCTGTTGGACTGACTTGCCCCCTTACCGCTACCACACACATGCACACACATACACACAAACCTCTGACATCATGTTTTGGGGTATGATGCCAAAATATTAGAAATATTTAACAAGAACACCAGGAGAAACATTTTCTAAACAACTAAAAATATGGAGGATCACTCTAGCCTGGGCAACAAAGCGAGACTCTGTTTCAAAAAAATAAATAAATAAATAAGAATAAAAATAAAAAATAAAAATATGGAGGAGACCTGATAATAAGGGACATTTATTTTCTGTTTTAGTTAAGGTTTTTGCTTCTGTATTTTTAACCCCAGAAAACACACACACACGCATACATACACACCAAGATGTGAACACACACACACTTTTTTTTAAAGGAATCACAGATGCTGGCCAGGATTAAGGTTATACCAAACATACTCTGCTCTGCCATTTTCCAAACTAAATGAAACAGAGCAAAAACATGGAGGAGGAATTTACAGGAATGGAGTACCACAAAGACAGATGAAAACTCTACAAAAGTGTTCTTCATAGAAGTGAGTGAGGGTAGGGGATGAGGAAAGGAAAGACAAGAGTTAAATGGGTATGGCTTACCTAACATTCAAAGCAAGGAGACTATATAGTTTGAGAGCTAGCTCAACATTTGAGACAAATACCTAGACCTTCATTCTAAGTCATGTGTCCAAATGGCTATATCCATGTAAACTGTAATGACCAGGATTTCAAATAGACTAACAAAATCTCATCATATGGACTATGTATGCTCAGAAACATCAGAGCAGAGGTTCCCTTCATGTCAAATGGCCATCTCTTTACTGTGATGTTTTGAAGCCAGTTTGGAATTTTTCACTTTTTGATTTGGGAATGTCAATCCTTTCATTCAGTTTAATATAAATGGGAGATCCTCTTACAATTACCTTGCTATGATATACAACATTGTATATATACTACCTTTGTGCCTCCCATAAAGTACATTATAGACTGTTGTCTACTTAGAAGGAAAAACAGACCTCCAAAATAGTATAGGCCTATTGCAGTCAAAATTTATTTATAAGTTCCTCACACTCAGATTAAGATCCCTCATTTTGCCAGGCAAGCACAGTGGCACATGCCTGTAGTTCTAGCTACTGGCTGAGGGGGAGGATCCCTTAAGGCCAAGAGTTCGGGGCTGTAGTGTACTATGAACAAACTTGTGAATAGCCACAGCACTCCAGCCTACGTGACATAGTGAGACTCCATCTCTTAAAAAAAAAAAAAAAAAAAAATCCCTCATTTTTCAAGAAAGCTGATGAACAAAGAGAAAAGAAAAACAAGGAAAAACTGAAGAAATGGCAACTCCCATTCTATGGGACCTTAAAGAGATTTTGGTGAGCACAAGGAAAATAATGGATTTTTTTTTGGTACTTTGAGATGACTGGTATAATTATCAAAGGTATTATTATTAACATTATCAATGCTCTTATACTCATTTTTTTTTTTTTTGAGACAGTCTCACTCTCTTGCCCTGGCTAGAGTGTCGTAGCATCAACCTAGCTCACAGCAACCTCAAACTCTTGGGCTCAGGTGATCCTCCTGCCTCAGCCTTCCAAGTAGCTGGGATTACAGGCATGTGCCACCATACCCGGCTAATTTTTTCTGTATATATTTTTAGTTGGCCAATTAATTTCTTTCTATTTTTAGTAGAGACAGGGTCTCGCTCTTGCTCAGGCTGGTTTCAAACTCCTGATCTTGAGTGATCTGCCCACCTCCCAGAGTGCTAGGATTACAGGCGTAAGCCACCACGCCTGGCCTTTATACTCAAATTTATAGTTTAGTCATTTTTTTCCCCTAGAGGATAAGAGAATTAAGGTAACCTCCTCTCTTCCTGCTCTTCCCTTTCCTTCTCTTTCCTCCTTCTCCCACTCTCTCTCTCTCCGTTTTTTTTTTTTTTTTTGGTCTCAGGGTCACTTAGGCTCTTGCATTGGGTGATTGTACTTGGACTAAATGGCACAAAATGTCCACAATGTACAATTTATGCCGCATTGTCTGCTGTCAGGCTCCTGCACATAACAGTGCTCATGCCAGGGATTTCTGCCATGGGAATCATGAGATATTCGTTCTACCTATTCAACTGATTCTGGGTATAGAATGGTCTTTGGTCTTTGTAACAAGAGAAACAACTGTTCACTAAAATGAATGGGTAAGATGTACCAAATCAAATAATGTCCTTCATTGGCTAGATGAGAAAGGAAAGAGCGAGCCCATTTCATTGCAACCCTCCAACAGAATTCTGGTGCTAGATGAGGAAACAGAATATGGTCTCCCAACCTTTTGATCCTTGCTACTGAAAGACTAGAATTTGATCTTTAGATCAGTGTTTGGTGGGTTTCAAAATTAGTGACCTGGGAAGTCCCAGAGCAGCAGCTGGCATTTGCTCTCTCCATGAAAGCAAGGCTATCCTTTTCAGGTGGTTAGTTCCTCCTGTTTAGCCTTTTTGAGTGCCTCAACTAGCAGAAGACACAAAGCAGAAGAGTTAACTGAAGAAATCCTAACTATTCAAAACTGCATTTAACACGTAGAACTCCTTGTTTTCTTTTTCAAATTTGAAAATTATGTGTTCAACAGAATTCTCTATGAAAAAGGTTTTTAAAAAATAGCATGTCTAAAGCCAGTTTTCAATTACAGTATTTATAAAAGTTAGAGTGATATTTACCTTAAACTGTAAACATTTACCAATTGACAGCATTAGATTCTTCTATAATTTAAAAAACAAACAGAGAAGAAAACAAATTCTTAGGTCTTCATACTGCTTAGGCCTTCGTGTGGGTAATGCTGAGTACACAGTGATAGAAAGGTGTTGATAAGAGGTTTTAAAAAAAAAAGGATTTAAAAAAGGAAGAAACACATGTCACTAACATGGTATGCCAGAAACTTGCCAGTGACAGTATTTGCCACAATTTCTTTCAGAGACCAGAAAAACAAAGGAAATAAAGTCCGCCTAAAAGTTAAAAGAATATAAAAACAAAAAGAAAACAAACAAGTTGAGCAGCCTCTTGTGTCTACCTTTGTAGCACTCAGAGGAGAATAGCCCAAGTATTACATGGGAGAACAAGGCACCTGGGTGCTCACCTAGTGCTATAGCCTGTGAGCCTCCCAGGTCAGACCACCTCAAGAAGGAAGCCCCTGTCCTCACTCTAGCCCCTGGGTGCCCCTGATGTCCTGTCATTTGCCGCTGTGTAGGACTAGGAATCCCTTTTCCATGGGGAGTTAGCAAGGAGCAAATCAGCTCCAAAACATAGTTTGCCAAATTGCCTCACTCTATAGGCTTTTCTGAGGGCCAGGCATTAGAACTTTCGTGCTCTACCTATAAAGGAAAAGGAAAATAACAGAGGCCCTACACCACGATGAAGAAACACAGAGTGAAAGAACTTTCAACAAAAGTAAAAATCACTTTTGTTGAGTTATTTCAGCTTCCCACTTAAACACCAGGGAGACCATTCAGTGAATGCTATGTGATTGGTTAAAAAAAAATTAAAGTACAATTGAAAAAAAAGAAAAGAAAAAACCAAGGAGACCAAAATTCCATGTTGAATATTCTAAACTTTTACTTTGAATCCCTTAATATCAGAATGAATACAAATGAAAGGAAGCACACATCTCCGTATGAAAAATGATATTCCATATATATTTTATTAGTGGTCTAAACAACAATGTGGTCTTCAAATGCATGAAAAAGAACTTTAAGGAAGTATCTTCTATACAACCAAAATTTCAAGATGTAGGAGAGATTTAAAAGATTTAGCAGAAAATATGGGCCGGGCACAGTAAGTGGCTCATGCCTATAATCCTAGCACTCTGGGAGGCCGAGGAGGAAGGATTCCTTGAGGTCAGGAGTTCAAGACCACTCTGAGCAAGAGCGATACCCTGTCTCTACAAAACATACAAACATTAGCCGAATTAGCCAGGTGTGGTGGTGCTACTTGGGAGGCTGAGGCAGGAGGATCACTGGAGCCCAAGAGTTTGAGGTTGCTGTGAGCTATGATGACACCATGGCACTCCAGCCTGGGCAACAGAGCAAGACTCTGTCTCAAAAAACAAAAAAGAAGAAGAAAATATGGAGTGATGCAGACATGAAAAGGAAAGTGGGGTAGATCCCCCCATACAAATTTTACAATCATAATAGGTGCTATCTCACAAGTGACTACTATGTGTGTGCCATATAGTCTCTAATACTCACAAAAATCCAGTAAGATAGGTACTATCTTCATTCTGTAGGTAAAGAAACTGAGGTTCAGGTAGATTAAGTAATCCAAGGTCGTAACACTGGTAAATGATAGAGCCAGGATTCAAACCTAGCTGTCTTACAAATTCTAAATCCTGAGATTTCAATAAAAATGGACAATAAATCTCATAATGTGAGTAATGTACTTTTTCAAGATACCAGTATTACCTGTTATTAAATGAAGTATCATATACACGTGTGTGTGTGTGTGTGTGTGTGTGTGTGTGTGTGTGTTGCCACTAGCAAACAGGGGAAAGTCAAAATACAAATATTTAATTGATATTTTAACTTCATTACAGGGCTGACATAATACTGATCCCAGTCAAAGAATATAATTTCTTTGGGTCTTTTAGAGCCTCTCATTTCAAATGTGATCCTAGGACTAGCGGCTTAAGCATCACCTTGGAGCTTCTAAGAACTGTACAATCTCAGGCCCCACCTCAGACGTTCTGAAACAGAACCTGCATTTTGACTGAATCCCCAGGTGATGTGTATGCAAATAAAAGCTTGAGAGACACTGTCTTAGAGGTGGTTGGTTCCAGCAAGAGGGATGCTTCTCACCCTATCAAAGCCATCCACATTAATAATGCCAGGAGGGAGAAGCTGCACTGACATTATACCCTTTCTTTGATTTTTCATTAAATGTTCATCAGTCATTTTATATATATATATATATATATATCAGCTTTGAGATATAATTATAATTCACCCATTAAGGTGTACAATTCAATGGTTTTTAGCATATTCAGAGTTGTGCAACTGTTACCACCGTCAATTTTCTCATCACCCTAAAAAGAAACCCCATACCCTTTAGCAGTCATTCCCCATTCTCCCCAGACCCAAGCCCTAGGTAACCATTAATCTACTTTCTGTCTCTACAGATTTGCCTATTCTGGACATTTTATACAAATGGAATCATATAATACATGGTCTTTTAAAATTGTCTTCTTTCACTTCGTGTAATGTTTTCAAGGTTCATCTATGTTGTTCACTAGGCTTAATCCTTCCTCATAAGTAGCAATAGTCTTTCCATAAATGCGTGGGTACCAGACAGCAATGTGACCCTATCACCCACTCTTCCCAATGGGGCTCCTGAGTGCCATTGCTCCCCTAGAAGTCTCTCTCCTCCCATTACCCTAATAAGGAGGAGCTTAGCAGAGTTCTCTTTTTCCATCTTCTCCCTGGGACTTAGCAGCTCAAGTGCAGCTGGCCCTTGGCCAAGCTTCCTCTCCAAGACACCTGCAGGCACTACCAGTGCTGCCACCTTATGCCCATTTCTTGAAGTAGTGGACACTGGATCAGGCACTGTCTTCCTTCCTGAGAGTCCTGCTCTTTGCTGTTTTCACATCAGTCAAGATTGTGACTCATGACAAAGTGTGACCAGGAGAGGTCGAGGGTGTGCTGTGTGGGAACTCGGTGCCTGGTACTTTCAAACAATCAAGAAGCACAGAAAAAAGCAAGTACAAATGCACGTGGGGCTAAAGAGGAGAATCATTTTACAATCTCTCTTCCTGATTCTCTTGGCTGTTTCTTCAGCTTCCATGTCTCTTCTTCTCCTTAGTTCACTTTCATTTCTGTATGTTATTCTTCACAGAATAGGGAACCTAAACATTTCTACCTGGATTGTTTCCTCTTGCCACTTTAAGGGGCATAATAGTTGTATTCTTAGACATTTGGGTATGCTTAATTTACTTCTATTAAAAACGGTCTAAACATTCTGCCCTACTGAACAGCAAAACAAGGAAAAGCTTTTCTGTTCTCTAAAATCAAGATGTTCTTCTTTAATAAATGAAGTTACACACATCCAAATTTTTGTTATGAAACATGTTTAGATTATAAGTCCAAAGAAAAACTAGCATAGTAACAAAAACACTCTCCCTAAATGCTCATGCCTGCGTTTGGGACCTTGTCTGAGTTTATTCTGGGGCACATAGTTCCATTACAGATTATCATGCACCACCTTGTACTCCCTGAATAGGCCACATATTTCCAAATCATGCCATTATTTCTAAGAAGGACTTTCCAAATTAACGCTCTAAGGACTTATGCCACCTCAAACTCTCATTGGCACTCTATCATATTCGTTCAAGAAATGTTTGAATACTATTGTATGCCAGCCCTGTGCTATACACAAGACAGACAAGGTTCCAGCTCCCATGGGGTTTAGCTTCTGAGTGGGGGATAAGAGCAGTAAACTGTGCCCTAAGACCTGTGATGTGCTTGGGTGATTCCGCAGGGTGTCTGGATGAGAGTAAAACAGGCAAGAAAGACTTTGCTGTCCTGGACAGCAAAGAAAAGCAGATGGACTCAGGTGGTCCTCGCTGATAGCCTTGCAGAATCTTCTGCTTTCATCTTGCTTTGACCCTTGACTAACTTCCTGAGAGTCACAGAAGTAGCACAAAGGTTGAGAACCACAGCATTAATGGACTTCACAACACTATTGTATTTTTAAACTCTAGCTTATATATATTAGGCATTGCTTAGAAATTGTTTTTCTATATGATTTTTTTAAATGTATATGGTTTTATATTATTTATCAGTATAAACAATTTACATTGTGGGTTTGTACAATCCTTCTTTAATCCTCAGGAACTCAGGACAAAGTGTTACATGCCTTTCTTATTTTCTACCCCTTTTGTCTTCCACAGAGCTGGGCAAACCAATGGGAGCTTGTTAAACTTTTACTGTTAGTCAGCTTGTAGAGGAATGCATTATTCATTCTCTCTTGCTTGGGGGTCAAAGTAACCAACCAGATCTAAAGACACATTTAGAAGACCTGTCAATGTAAACAGGTGTGTATTTACTCTGACTTTGCTATTACAATTTAGTAAAGCTTCATTTATCTAACACCTTTGCAGAAGGTGAAAAACCTGAATTCATTTTCTAAATAATTAAAACTAATCCTTCTAAGTATAAAATGTTTTACAATATGCCTTTAATGAAATACTATTTTAAATAAAATAGATCTCTGCCTTCTTAAAATGTATAGCAAATATAATTTAACCTCTTCTTATTTTCCTGGTCATTATTAGTATTCAGAATTAGACTGCAAAGTAATGCATCTTTGGCAACTATCAGAATATGCTAGACTTTTGCTTTACCTAAAATAATCCAAGGCTGGTGTGGTTTTGAGTTATTTTATGTCCTTCTAATAACTTTCTGTTTTTCCCTTCTAGTGTTAAACCATTAGATAATACCTCTTACTACTTCCTAGGTACCTGGCTTTAGCAATCCCCTTCCTAATCTGTATCCTAGAAACCAGATAACCAAATTTATTAGCATTGTGTGTAAAGTAAGAGCAAATAGGTTTTGAATATGAGGATCTTTCTAGGAATTTAATAGTATTACCTTTTCAAAGTGGTTCAATGATCTTTTTTACTTGTTCTAGTGTTTTCAATTCCCCTACTGGTACTCTAAATTGTTGGATAAATTACCTTCTGTAGAAAACTGAGATGTTGGGCTGGGCAGGTGGTTCACGCCTATAGTCCCAGCATTTTGGTTTGGAACTCCTGAGCTCAAACGATCCGCCCGCCTAAGCCTCCCAGAGTGCTAGGATTACAGGCGTGAGCCACCATGCCTGGCCATTCCCAGCACTTTGGAAGGCCAAGGCAGAAGGGTCACTTGAGCCCAGGAGTTTGAGGTTGCAGTGAGCTATAATTATGTCACTGTACTCTAGCCAGGTGAACAGAGCAAGACCCTGCCTCAAAAAAATAAAAATAAAAATGATAAATAAATAAATACAAAATTGAGTGTCCATTATATGTCAGGTGTACACATTTTCTTTCCTATATTTAGAACAGTGCTGCAAAGTACATAAAAAGCCTACTTTAGATTTGTGGAAAACTCAGACTAACAGACATTAAGTAATTTAACCAGAGCTACAGACAGGAGTTTGAAGTGGAAGAGAGGAGATTCAAATCCAACTCTGAATCTAAAACTTTGGATTTTTATTTTTTTATTTTATTTATTTACTTATTTTGAGATAGGTTCTTGCTCTGACACCTGGGCTAGAGTGCAGTGGCTCGATCACAGACTCATCAGTTCATCACACACTCAGACTCCTGGGTTCAAGTGATCTTTCTGGCTCAGCCTCCCAAAAACCTAGGGCTATAGGTGTGTGCCACCATGCCCAGCTAATTTTTTTTAAAAGTTTTCATAAAGACATGGTCTTGCTATGTTGCCCAGGCTGGTCTTGAACTCCTGGGCTCAAATGATCCTCCTGCCTTGGCCTCCAAAAGTGCTGGGATTCCAGGCATGAACTACCATCATACCTGGCCTATATTTTTAAACTTTTAAAATATTTATTTATTTATTTATTTTGAGACAGAGTCTCACTTTGTTGCCCAGGCTAGAGTGAGTGCCGTGGCGTCAGCCTAGCTCACAGCAACCTCAAACTCCTGGGCTCAAGCAATCCTGCTGCCTCAGCCTCCCGAGTAGCTGGGACTACAGGCAAGCACCACCATGCCCGGCTAATTTTTTTCTATATATTTTTAGTTGGCCGATTAATTTCTTTCTATTTTTAGTAGAGACGGGGTCTTGCACTTGCTCAGGCTGGTTTTGAACTCTTGATCTTGAGCGATCTGCCTGCCTCAGCCTCCCAGAGTGCTAGGATTACAGGCATGAGCCACCACGTCCAGCCTTATTTTTTTATTTTTTAAAATAGAAAACAGAACTCTGTTTCTCACATAACAGTCTGAAAGGAAGTAGACCTGGAATTTTCTGCTCACCTGGTCAATCAGGGACTTGAAATCCTTGAATATTGTTGCTTTGCCCTACTCTTAGAGATTTCACTTCGATTGCATGGTCAATGCTTAGTCTCAGATGCATGTAAGACCGGGTTGCTCTGTAGTGGTGGCAGCCAGATAGAGTGTGCAAGGGACCCTCCGAATGCTTGCATATTGAGGGAAAGGAGGAATAGGGGATGTGGATACCCTTGAATGAATAAAGAGGATGAAAGGACTGGGAATGGCAATCTCCTCTCCTCTGCCCACTTCCCTCCCATCAGTACCCAGACCTAGAGAACTACTTTCAAAGTCTGTGTTCTTATCATCAAGCTGCCTTTATTATACTATTGCTAAGAGGTAATAAGAGGGTATTCAGCCTGTATTCTGGTATTGTAGCCAACTTGACCATGGACTAGTGGTAATAAATGTTAACCAACCAGCTGTCCAAGGCCAAGTGGTTTAAAGGCCAGGGTTGGGTTCCATAAGGGCAGATTTAAGGTTATTTAATGAAAGCCAAATAGCTAAATATTAGGCCATCATGTATATGAACAACCCCATTCAAGGATACAAAGGCAAATATTGGGTTGATGAAATATAGAGTTGATATTTCAGTGAGAACAAGTATAAGAGCAGCTCACTAAGAAGTTTTAGGCGCTTTTCTCAAACACTTGTCATTATAAGAGAGGTACATGGGTCTACCTGGCTTAAAGGGTACAAGGGTCTTCCATGAAGATGTATGAGATGACTTAAATCAGAGGAGCCATTCACAAATTCTGTCAATCAGTGCCATGGTCACCTAAAGAATAAATGACAATGAGAATTTTGCTTTTTGGTGTTTTTATTTAATATTTATAGCAGCTTTTTAAGTCTTTAATTCTTTAGCTTTTCTTCCTTTTTCCATTTAATTGTGATAAACACCAATCTGGTTTGCCTCAGTTAGTTCATATTCTTTCTTCCATTTTCTGGGTCCACCTTATGTTAGTGTTATGCTCTAATTAATTATCTGTATAATATATCTCTAAAGATACTGCCCAAATTGCTTCTACCTGGTCAGCTATACCATTCCATGACTCTCTGACCAATTCTATCCTTGAGTTTTTTCATGATTTTTTGTTCCCTTCTTTCTGATTCTTGGATTTGCAGTTTTGTCTGTTACTTGGCCCTCTGTCCACCTACTGCACATCTTCCTTGTGGTAAGCAGGGACTTAAGGAGTTGTCCTTTCTTCAGACCCTCCGCCCCATCAAAGTTGGAGCCAAAGCTCAGTTGTGGTCAAAACTCAGTTAACTAAAAGTTTACAAAGGGCAACAATTCACCATTCAAAGATTTGCTTTGGTCTGTGTGTGAAGGGGGAAGTGAGGATGTGGGCAGTGAGCTGTGGTGCCATCTTGATGTCATGTCTCGTGTTTTCCTGTTAGCGTGTTGTTGCTTCAGTTCCTGTAGCTGTAAGCTGCAGTGATTGGGAGAGGGGTTAAACTAGTACAGTTTTTCCTTCAGTAAATGATTCCTTTCTAGGATGTTCCTGACATATCCCTTCATACCTTTCCTCATGCTGCTCCCTCTACCAGGAGTGCTCCTATGATTCCCCCTTGTCTCATCCCCAATATTTTCTCTTTAGGAACCAGTCTCTAGTTCCTCTAAACTTGGGATCAGCAAATATCTTCTGTAAGAACTAAATAGTAAATATTTTAGGCTTTATAGGCCAAGAGCAATGAGAGTGCTATATAAGGTCTCTGTCCCAATGGATTCAACTCTAATGTTGTAGTGCAAAGGCAACTATAGACAGTAGACAAATGGGAGTGGCTGTACAACAACAAAACTATATTTACAAAAACAGGTAGTAGGCTGAATTTCTCCCATGGCTGATGATTTGCTGACCCCTGCTATACTTAGATATTTCTTCTCCAACCTAATTATTCATGCCTCTGTTATCATATTAGTTCTATGAGTTTACCTCCACCAGAATATGAGCACCGAAGGCAGGCATTCTGCCTTCACATCTCTCTGAACTAAGCAAAATTGAACTCCTAATGGGTACTCTATAAACATTTCTGGAAGAAAGTGGGGAACAAAAGTAGAAAGGGGCGGGGTCCTAATTAAGGTGGAAACAGAATCATGCAAATCCTCCACTGACACGCACCTTCCCCTAGTAACATGATCAGATGCTTTTATAAAATGGCTATTTTGGGCTCTTCCAAAAAGTTTGACTTCAGCAAGCTTGCTTTTGTCTTTTTTCCCCCCCTATTCTTCCAATTTTCAGCTGAAGAATTTCTCTCTCTCTTTTTTTTTTTTGCAAGCTTGCTTTTGGAGATTCATATATGTGGTAGCCCCGTCTTCAATAATCCTTTCCTCCTCGTATTCATGTTCCCACCCACACTGAGTAGGAATGACCTAGGTAACTGATAGGATATGGTGAAAATAAGGGTGTATGAAATCTCAGGCAAGCCATAAACAGTAATATAGGTTTTGCCTTATTCTCTCTTGGATCACTCTCTCTGGGGGAAACTAGTGTCTATGTCCTGAAAACCTATGTCAAGCAAATCTATGGAGAAGTCCATGGGGCAAAGAAGTGAGACCTCCTGCCAACAGCCTTGCGAGTGAGTCATCTGTAATTGGATCATCCTTTCTCAGTTAAGCTTTTAGATGACTGCAGACCACACAGCTTTGAAGAGGACCACCTAACAGTCATAGGAGCCGCCCCTATACCTATGGTGTTTGAATGGAACATTCAAGTATGAAGCTCTAGGACTGGGCTCTGTATATATGATTTGATATTAAGAGCATCTCAGGGCCGGGCACGGTGGCTCACGCCTGTAATCCTAGCTCTAGGTCAGGAGTTCAAAACCAGCCTGAGCAAGAGCGAGACCCCGTCTCTACTATAAATAGAAAGAAATTAATTGGCCAACTGATATATATATAAAAAATTAGCTGGGCATGGTGGCACATGCCTGTAGTCCCAGCTACTCGGGAGGCTGAGGCAGAAGGATCGCTCGAGCCCAGGAGTTTGAGGTTTCTGTGAGCTAGGCTGACGCCACGGCACTCACTCTAGCCTGGACAACAAAGCGAGACTCTGTCTCAAAAAAAAAAAAAGAAAAAAAAAAGAGCATCTCAGCTCCAAATTGTGGCTTGCTCACCAAGAGTCTTTCATTGCAATGGTCACGGGGGAAGGAGCTTTATTAACTGATAAAGCAAATAAAGCTATTAACACTTCTGAGAAGTAACCATGAAGGCCTGAATTCTAACTTTCATAGAAGTAGTCAGTTTCATTATATCCAAGTTAATATATTCATTTAATTTCCTTTTTTTGAGACAGAGTCTCACTCTATTGCCTGGGCTAGAGTGCCGTAGCATCAGCTGAGCTCACAGCAACCTCAAACTCCTAGGCTCAAGAGATCCTACTGCCTCAGCCTCACAAGTAGCTAGGACTACAGGCATGTGCCACCATGCCCGACTAATTTTTTCTATATATTTTTAGTTGTCCAGTTAATTTCTTTCTATTTTTTTAGTAGAGATGGGGTCTTGCTCTTGCTCAGGCTGGTCTCGAACTACTGAGGTCAAACAATCTGCCCGCCTTGGCCTCCCAGAGTGTTAGGATTACAGGCATGAGCCACCATACCCGGCCTCAATTTCTTTTTTCTAATTTTAAATTTTTTAACTTCTCTTACTATCATTCTCAATTTCATTATATATTCTCAGACTACAATGGCAATCATTCATTCAACATATATTTTTTGAAGGCCTACAATTTGCCTGTTATCAATCTAAGTGTTAGGGATACAGTGGTGAACAAAGTGGACAAAAGTCTCTACCCTTAAGGAAACTAGTGGTGGGAGATAAATAATAAGAAAAGAATTAAAATATAGGTAAATATATATGTAAATATATATAAATATATAAGTATATATATAGGTATATAAATATATAGGTAAATATATATGTCAGATGATGGATTGGGAAAAAATTAAGCTGGGAAGAGGGACAGGGAATACCAGATTAAGCAGAGTTGCAACTTGAAATGAGATAATGAAGAAATAAAAGGCCGGGCGTGGTGGCTCACACCTGTAATTCTAGCACTCTGGGAGGCCAAGGCATGCGTATTGCTTGAGGTCTGGAGTTCGAAACCAGCCTGAGAGAGACCCCGTCTCTACTAAATATAGAAAGAAGTTAATTGGATAACTAAAAAATACATATGTATACAAAAAGTTAGCCGGGTATGGTGGCATATGCCTGTAGTCCCAGCTACTGGGGAGGCTGAGGCAGGAGGATTGCTTGAGCCCAGGAGTTTGAGGTTGCTGTGAGCTAGGCTGACACCATGGCACTCACTCTAGCCTGGGCAACAAACTGAGACTCTGTCTCAAAAAAAAAAAAAAGAGAGAGAGAGAGAGAGAGAAATAAATACCTCAGAAAGGAATACCTGAGCAAAAACCTGATTAAAGTAGGGAAGTATATCAATCAGCTTGGGCTGCCTTAAAAAATAACATAAAATGGGTTAATTTAAGTTAACAGAAAAAAAATTATAATAAATGGTTAATTTATGTAACAGAAAAAAAAATAATAAAACATAGACTTCAGGGCTTAAATAACAGAAATTTATTTTCTCACACTAATAAAGGCTAGAAATCAGAGATCAGGGTGCCAGCATGGTCAGGTTCTTTTTTTTTTGAGACAGAGTCTTGCTTTGTTGCCCAGGCTAGAGTGAGTGCCGTGGAGTCAGCTAGCTCACAGCAACCTCAAACTCCTGGCTCAAGCATCTCCTGCCTCAGCCTCCCAAGTAGCTGGGATACAGGCAGCGCCACCATGCCGGCTAATTTTTTTCTATATAATATAGTTGGCCAATTAATTTCTTTCTATTTATAGTAGAGATGGGGTCTCGCTCTTGCTCAGGCTGGTTTTGAACTCCTGACCTCGAGCAATCTGCCCGCCTCGGCCTCCCAGAGTGCTAGGATTACAGGCGTGAGCCACCGCGCCTGGCCATGGTCAGGTTCTTACAAGGGCTCTTTTCTTGGTTTGTAGACAGCTGACTTTTTGTTGTATGCTCACATGGCCTTTCCTCAATGCATGCATATATATATATATATTTTTTTTTTTTTTTTTTTTTTGAGACAGAGAGAGAACATGCTTTCTGCTGTCTCTTCCCATATGGACACTAATCCTATTGGGTTAGGGATCCACCCTCATAACTTCATTCAACCTTAATTACCTTCATAAAGGTCCTATCTCCAAATAGGAGATTATACTGGGGGTTAAGGCTTCAGCGTATGAATCTGGGGGGATACAGCTCAGTCCATATCAGGGGGTAAGTAATGCAGACAGATATCTAGAGGAAGAATGTTTTAGGCAGAAAATTTGGTCCAGAGATATGTTAGGGAGTTGACAGCATATATTAATAGATGATATTTAAAGCCATCAGATTGGATGAAATCACCAGCATGAGGAACATAGAGAAGAGAAACAAATCCAAAGTCTGAATCCTGGTACACTCCAATGTTTAGAGGTTAGAAAGATGAAAAGGATCCAGCAAAGGAGACAGAGGAGCAGTGATGGAGCAGGGTAGCAAGAAAAATAGGAGGAAGTAGTATCCCAGAAGCATAGTGAGGAAAGTACTTTATAGTATTTCAAGAAGGAGAGGATGAGTGCTGTGTCACACAGGATGAAGGTTCAGTCTTCACCACTGGATTTACAACAAGAATGTCACTGGTGACCTAACCAAGAACAATTTCAGTGGAATGGTAAAGGCAAAAGGCTGACTGGAGTGGGTTCAAGAGAGACTAAGAAAGAGGAATTTCAAACATTGAGTA